CCTAAAAGCCTCTTGCCCAATGTGGCTCACTGAGTCTGGGATGGTCAAGCTCACCAATGAGCTGCAATTTGCAAAGGCCCAATTCTCAATTTGGGTCACTGAGCTCGGGATAGTCAAGCTCACCAGAGAGCTGCAATGCGCAAAGGCATGGTCTCCAATGTGGGTCACTGAGTCCGGAATGGTCAAGTTCACCAAGGAGCTGCATCCATAAAAGGAAAAATCATTAATTTGGGTCACTGAGTCTGGGATTGCCAACTTCAGCAAAGAGCTGCAATTCGCAAACGCCCCGTTCTCAATTTGGGCCACTGAGTTGGGGATTGTCAAGATTTGCAAAGAGCTGCAACCGTCAAAAGCACAATGCCCAACATGCATCACGGAGTCTGGGATGGTCAAGTTCGTCAAGCTGCAAAACTGAAAGGCATAATCACCAATATGAGTCACTGAGTTGGGGATGGTCAAGTTCACCAAAGAGCTGCAATTCTGAAAGGCTCCATACGCAATGTGCGTGACTGAGTCCGGGATGACGACTTTGGCCACCAGATCGCAGTCTTGGAAGGCATGAGGGGCAATTCGAGTTTCATCGTCTGGGATTTCAACCACCAGCAAAAGTTCCAAGTCAATTTGACTGCGAAAGCTGGCGATGGCGATTGCACCCTTTCCGGAGCATCTCACTCGGTTGGCTTTGAAGACAACACTCACAGAAGCGTCTGCCGCAAGGCCGGCATCTGCCATCGTCTCTCCATTCCCCAGCAACCTGTCTCCAACAACAATCTCAACCGCAGTAGTGCTGCGGGTTACGTCGTCCCAGGTCTGCTGTCGTTCTTTGATCTGCAACTTCAGCTCTTCTCCTGTGGTCTCTGGCGTCACTTCAAGAAACGTTTTCTCACCATTCACCTGCAGTGCTGAAATGGTGATCGCCATGGCTAAGTTGCAATCACTCCAACCGGAGGTCAGCTGATTTGTCAACTTTGATCGCTAAAAAATATTGCATTTATATAGAGTTCTATGGTTGGTGCCAATCATGGAAGTTGACAATGGCCCCTTGAGAAAACAACTGTCCTATATATATATAACACAAAAGAATATCCTTTCAAAAAAACACATACATACATATACACGTATACATCTACTTATACATACACATATGTACATATGCCTATACCTATACCTATACATATACATACATAATTACATAATCATACTGTTACATGTGATGATACACAAAAAAAGAAAAACAAAACAACAGGCATATGTTCACGTCCATGTTCGCCAGAGGAGAACAAAGAAAAGATAAACAACCCATGTCAACATCACCAGTCACACCCGTCGGGCCAAGCACGTAGTCACACGTCAAGCTGTCAACCGATACTTGCAACCACTTATTGAGCTTTTTCCCTATACACCCCTGCTATCTGGGGGGAGGAGCATGGCCCAATTCCATCGACACATCGACGGCTGTTCGCTCTGGAGGATCTCCTGGCTCCCAGCGCCCAGCGCGACGTGCTTTCGAAGCGACGACGAGCTTAGCGACGACGAAGCGACGACTGTCGTCATGGAAGCCTTCCACACGGCCCTGAAAACGGCCCTAGCGGCTACCCCGTTGAGAAATGTGCAAATTGCAATTTCCAGGGTTCGCCTTTGGAACTCTCCCATCTCTCCCTCTCCAATCCAGCTGGGCTCCTCTTTCGGCTTGGCCTCCGGCTGGGTGTCGGCCTGATGCTCCAGCAGCATCTCAAGCTCCAGCTCGCTCCGGACACTTCGGCTGCCACCCTGCAGCGGCAGCCGGTGTCTCTGCCAGACGCGTTCCGCGTCCTCGTGCACGGCCAGCGAGGCCTGAAAGTGGGGGGCTTCACAAGCATTGCCCCACGGCTCGTCTCCGAAGACCCTCAAACACCATCGCATCAGACACCTGGATTCCATTGGATCCCTGTAGATGTGTCGGACCCAAACACTACGAACGGCGCGCGGAGAAAAAAAAAAACGAGCCTTCCCCAGGACTTCTTCATGAGAAGCACTGATGCTCATCACTTGCAACTCCAGACTGCACGGCTCATGTAGCTGGAAGGTATGCTCATTGTCTTCCTTTATTGGCGCGGCTGGAAACTCGGCACCCGGGCGCACCCGGGCGACCGGGTGCGGAAGCACCCGTGCGACCGGGCGACCGTTCCATTGGGGTTCGTCTTGGAATCCATTGAAGCCGGCCACAAAAGGGTTTGAAGGGACTTACTGTAAGAAACAACACGTTATAACACAAACATACCAAGCACGAGCGCCAAGGTATAGATGCCCCCATTTGTCCGAAAGAAACTGGTGGGGGTTGACCCCAGCTCTGATGCTTGAGCTGGAGATGTTGACCATCTCCCCGCTTCATCTTTCGAAGTCTTGGCGCCGGTGTCAGGTGGATGGTGTCCCATCTCGCCTCCACCTATGCTATAGCCGAGCTCTATATCGCTCTTCCTGCGCCGGAGCCACACAGCTCTCGCCGCGCCGGTGCACGCGCTCCGTCGCGGCCGGGCCGCCGTCCAGACACAGGTCGCCTCGCGCTCCACGCAGCAGGTGCGAAAAATCTGCCGCTGCACGCGCGCCGCCACGTAGGAGTCAGCCAGATCGCCCGTGAGGCCGGTGCTCTGAAGGGGCCTCGGAGAGTGGTGAGATGGGCCGGTGGTGAGATGGGCTGTGGGAAGGGCTTGGGAGGACATGGACCGGAAATGGAGTGAACACGACTGGATTCTGAGAAGGTTGGCTGGATGGGCGCAAGGGTGAGTGTCTCCCTGTGTGGTAGGGCATCATCCCTCAAGATGCTCTGCTTCAAAACAACGCAGTCATCCGACAAGCAAGCCCCGCAAGTGTCTTGGCTGCAGTATTTACAACGTGACGTTCACTCCAACATACCGCTGCTCATGTGGCTTTCGGCCGGACACTCCCATTCACCTCATTTGGAGTGGGCCACACCCGGAACATCCTTAAGGGCGTCCACATCCGGTCCACATCCGGTCCAGGGTGTCCACATAGGTTCGCTCCGAAACCGCTGCTCTCGGGACCGGTCGTTGACATCTTGGGCCTTTTGGACATCTTGGGCCTCCGAAACTCTGGGAGAAATGCCATGGTAGTTGAAACGAACCAAGTCCATGGCTACCCAACGAAATCAGCTTTGGATGCCCTTTGATTCTAAAGCTGACCATGGCTACCATCTGGTAGGTCTAAGATTCCCATCCCAACAAGGACAATTCAGGATCCACCATGAAACCCATGCTGGGCCAGCACTCCAAATGAAAAAGCTTGGGAGCGCGCCCCCCTCTTGATGGGCGGCTTGTCGCCCCCGTCGCCCCCCAGCACTCAGCTAAGGCACAGGTTGTAGGCCTTGAGAATTCGCACTCTCCTGGGGTTGAGGATCAGGGTAGGTTCTTCTGAGGCCTAGAACAGTAGAACAGTAGGCCTATTCACTTGTTGAGTGAATCAACTTCACAAGTAGGTCAGAATGAGGGCAACTCCCTTTCTGCAACAGGAGCGCCCCGCAAACCTCGTCTTCTCAGCAAGCACGGCCTCTACCCAACTTCACCCCGTTCCATCAGCAAACCTCCAGTGACCTGCTCTTGCCTCCCTGACTGCCCCCTGCCCAGGCTCCAACTCACGCCAGGGCTCAAATACTTCGGCCCCACCGCCCTCTGCAAAGGCGAGGTCGACTGGGGCGAGGCCGCACCCAGCGGCGATGGAGAGGCGAGCTCCGCGTAGGGCCTGGCACCAGACCGACGGGCCTGGCCCGTAGAAGGGGTACATATTACATATTTTGGGGTCTGTGTTAGTATACACACACATTTAAAAAAAAAATATATATATATATATACATACATACATGACATGACATGACATGACATGACATGACATGACATGACATGACATGACATGACAT